AAGGTAATAACAATAAGAAGGAAAGATACTGGATTCAAACTTTTACCTGAATGACATATATCCCAAACACACAAAATAAAGTTTTGTGATATTTCCAGTGTAAAATTATTTTGAAAGTAATTCTTACCCTTTGGATCCAGTATTAGTTTTTATATTGACATGAAAAAATATACTCAGTAGGGGCTGGGGATTTAGCTCAGCGGCATAAGCGCCTGCCTTGTAAGCAGGCAGTCGTGAGTTTGATCCCTGGTAACGGTAAAAAGGAAAAAGAAAAAAAAAATATATATATATACTCAATAATAATGTTTATGATCAGAATAGGATAATCTAATTGCAAATGGTAGGCATATCAATTTATAATTGAGTATTTTGGTTAGTGAAAAGTATATAGTAGCTTATGATGTCATGTTTCATGTTTAGTACTATATTGTGAGAGTATATATATGGTTTTTAAAGGGAAATTTTTGTCTAGTTATTTTTAAGAAACAAAATTTGTGTTCTTAGGAAGCTCATGTCTTGCCGGACGAATAGTATGTATAATCCAATTAAAATGAATTAGGCTTTATAATTTTTTCTCCATGAAGGTGATATGGTCTGAATTGAGTTCTGAGCTGTGATTATACCTTTTCATTTAATACTAACCCAAATGTCTACCTGATACAGTCTGTCTTCTGATACCCAAAGTGACAAGGCTTTTTTGTTTTTTGGTTCCTTGGCTGATGCTGCCCAGGGCAGCGTTGAACTTCTGTATTCAAATGATATTCTTGCCTCATATTATTTGGGACTACAGCCTGTGCCACTGTGTATGGCTTTAAAGTAGTGGTTCTTAAGGTATGGGACACAAATCACCCAATAGTACTTATTTATTTATTTATTTTTGGTACTGGGGATCGAACTCATGACTGCACATTTGCAAGGCAGGCGCTTATGCCGCTGAGCTAAATCCCCAGCCCTCCAATAGTAGTTATTTAAAATAGTTTTTTAGAGGCTAAAATCTCAGAGATACTGACTCAAAGGAAGGGACCAGAAATTGGTAAAGAAGCACTGTAGAGAGTTCTGATATAGAAAAACTCACCTAGGCAAGATACACCAGTTGGCCAGAAGCTTTAAAATTGTTCACTTTCCATTCAGCTAGTATGTAGTGACTATTTAGGGTATGTGAGGACTTACTTGTGAAGCATTATGAAAGTTTAGTATAACTATTATTTTAGTTGTGTATTTAAGTCAGTTTTATAGAGTTACTAGGCTGTAGTTTGCTAGCATTTTGTTCAATAGTCAAAAATCAGTAAACATTTTTTAAGAATTGGGAAGAAAATTTAAAATGTAGTATATGTAAGTTGACCATTGTTTCTTACATTTTTTAGGTTCTAAGACGTTAGTAATCTAGAGTGAAATACATGTCTTTAGTTGTTCTCTGCTCAGTCTCTATACAATCCTGTATTCACCAGTCAGAATACCTAATATAAATGAAATCATGTGTAACATATATATTTAAGATGCAGATATCTGTCTCATCTCACTGCAGTCCCATTTACTTTTTTCATTCTTGCAGTCTATATTCAACATAGCCAGAGCCCTTACTTGTTAGCAATAACATTTTAAAAATCTTATGTTACATTGAAATTTTTTATTTTTGTCTGTATTGATTATATGCCATAGCTGTTTGAGGAGAAAGCAGTTTCTGTATTACTTATCATGTCTTGCTGCTGTTTGTTTACATCTTGAAAAATCAGAAGAGGTGCTTTGGGAAACTGCCTTGCTTAATACTTCTCAGAAAAATATGACATAGCGCTTTCACAGAAACAGAGTGAGGAAAATGACCTCAGTCCCAGACAGACTCGGCTTTCCCTCCTTATCTGACTCGATGCGTCAGGGTTTGATAGTAGTAGAGAGTTGGTATTGGTGGCAGTGACAGGAATGACAGCACTTTTTACCACTTGCTGGTGGAAGTACAGAGCTGTCATGCTTGAAAGCCATGGATACAGCTTATTGGGATCTGAAAAAATGTGTGACTAGAATGGTAGAGATACAGTGTGTGGGGTTATTTTTACATGTTAGGTTATCATTAAGTTTGCTGAGCTATTTTTTTCCCCCAGCAAAAACAGTATTCTAAAAGATGATAGCTTTCATGTATCAGTACCACTCGATTCCATCTATGAATTGCTATAATACTATTGTAGTCTACCTCTTGTAATGCAGTATATGCTATCATATTTCTATTAAGCCTGTTGTGTCCGTTGGAGTCTTTCATTATTTTGAATCTGTTTTGGTAAAAAGGTCAGTCTTCCAATTTGTTTTCTTCTGTGAACTCTAATCCACAATTCTGATGTATTTGTGTATCTGCTGGAACTACATCTCCAAGGAGTTCATGTCTTTTCCTACTCTTATCTTTGTATTATTATCTTTTTTCTTTTTATGACATCATTTGGGGTCCTATTCTTCTTTACTGTTTATAATTCAACTCATATTTAACTTCCTAAAATTCCTTGAAGGGAAGGGGGAGCTTAGTTTACATTCAGGAGAACACACAAAAGCCCATTGTTCGGATATAAAGAAAATTGTCTCCTAAAGTTTCCCTGGTTTTGTAAGTTTTCATTTTTTTGGAGGAAAGAAAAAAAAGAAATACAGTATTTTATGTTTTTTTCCTTGCATCCTGTATCTATTCAGAAAAATGACCTGTTTCCGTCATCTGATCAAGAAATAAACTTTCTTACGTTTTCCAAAGCTTGAAATACAGTTTAAAGCTGCTTGACTATAATATAAAAAACTTTAGTTATTTGACTTTTATTAATATATCTGTAGAAATATTGCTATATTTAGATTTTTTAATTTAAAAATTATCTTTATGTACCTGTTCACAAAGAATGAGGAAAATGTGAGCACCCAGCCAACTCATTACTTACATAATTACTCAGATGGTTAAGTGAAGGATGGTATTTGTTCGTTCTCTTACTGTATATATTTTGGTAGCTTCTCACTAAGTATTTGTAAGGTTTTACAAAGTAAAATTACTTAAAAAGATGTATTCAACAAGAAAATGGAGTAAACCAAGTGGAAGATATAGTTAATTTAAAATGTGAATTTGAAACTTTAAATACTTTCTAATATGAGAAGTATCTGGAATAATGTTATTTATCTTACTACATTACTTTCCCCAAAATTATTTTTGTGTTGCCTTTGTTTTCCATGTACTTTATGCACAGCTTAGTGAAATAGTTCTTCAATCATTAATGGTAATTCAGTGCCCCCAGGTGGCCTCACACCAGTCGCCTTTAGGTTGGAAAATCCTGTTGGATTCTGCCTTCATTGTCTGTCTAAACTAATAGTCCTTTGCAGAGCTACTGCCATTGTTTTTTGCCAGTCCTTTTGTTACACATCAAAGCTCGCTGCAGTAGCTTTCTATCTTCTGTGTCTTTCAGAATCAATTGTCTACATATTACTGTTGTGTTAGTTGTTTGGAAGATCATTTCTCATGTTATTCTTTTGCTCTGATATCCTGATTTAACTTTCTAGGTAACTTTTACTATTGTATTATTTTCCTATCAAAGAACATGTGCTCCTTCTAGAACATGCTGTAGTTTTACCAGTGCTTTTGTTGTTCTTAAGCCCAACATAATGCTTTCTTTTTCATACAGACTTTACTGTTCTTTTAAAGCATTTACTACATTTTTCTCTTATTTTACATGTTTTTATACTTTTTAATATAACTGAGCACCAGAAATCCAAAATGTTCCAAATTACAACTTTTGAGCACAAACATGGCATAGGGAGAGGGGCACAGATTCTTTTTTTTTTTTTGTACCACAAAATGAACTCAGGACCTTGCACTTGCTAGGCAGGTGCTTATGAAGCTGAGCTATATCCCCAGCCCAAGGGGGGAAAATTCTGCCCCTCATCTCATGAGATAGATTTCAGTTTAAATATAAGTACACTAAAAATATCAGGTTATATGGATGCAATGTAAATGAAATAAATGAATTTTTTTTTTAGAATCTCTATTTATCTCTTTTCAGTCTATTTCTTGCATAGCTATTCCAAATTGGAAAAACTCTGAAATCTAAAGGACTAATGGAGTGGGATGTGGTGGCACATGTGTGTAATCCCATCACTTAGGAAACTGAGGCTGGAGGGCCTCTGAGTAGGCGTGTCTGGGCTACCTAGTAAATTCAAGATCAGCTTGAACTACATAGGGAGACCCTGTCTCACAACAAAGTAAAAGGAAAAATGCTACCAGTTCCAAACATTTTTGATAAGGAATCCTTGACCTATGCTGCATTTGCTTTTTAAATATTTATGCTAGCTTCCTAGGAAAAATTAGCATTTGTGATTTTTGGGGGGTTAAAATTATTGGTAACGGGGAAAATTTACACGTTGGACAAAATCTATCCTGAGGTCATTAATTTTTAATCTTTTTGTAGAATAAATATAAAAAGTAAAAGTTGTTTAAACTTCTTATTCATCTATTTAATCAGAGGCCAGTTGTTGGAAACATTTGTGAGTAGTTTTTGAAAACTGACTTTTCAACATAAAAGTACTATTTTAGTTTACATATTATATCCTACTTAATGCAATAAAATGCTATTAAAAGTTATCTGGTAGGTATAAATTTGTTGTAGATAAGTGGATGCTCGTTTGTATACCTGAAAGATATATGGGATAAATGCTTGTTACTGTTTACTCTAATGACAGGAGGAGAAACAGTTTATAGGGCAAAGTTATAATGTCTACCATCTATATTTTATTTTCTTTCTTATTATAGATGAGACCACATGAAAACTAGTAAGCAAATATATTAAGAAATCTGCTTTTATGTTGAATTTTTTGGCATGCTTATAAAGCTGAATATTAATATTTAAAACAAAGATTTTTCTTGACATGAAGACTAAAAATAGTCTGATTTTTTATTAAGATATAAAAGTAGATACTAAAATTTTATTTTATGCTTGAGAGTCTTAAGTATAAATTCATTTTTAAATTTCAAATGAAGATATCAGGACATATTCTGTTCCAGATATATTTATTGATTGAAAATTTTCTTAACACTTTTGTCCATGATGTTAGTATCTTTTCAGAATTAAAAAAAATCAGTCTTACTTGCTTATGCTACATTTTGTAAAATTGAAGGATTTCTTTAATTCCATAAAACTGTGGAAAGAAAAACAAAAGGAAACTGGGAATTTGCCAAGATTTAACATGTTAACATTATTATCTGAAGTAAATCACTATTTCATTTGCCAGTGAGCTCAGTGAATTCAAGCTATTGTATGATGGTCATTCCCTCAGGGATTATTTAGTAAATTAGACTTGTTGAATCCATTTATTTGTATAAAATAATGTATTATTGACTGACATGTATTTTTTAATTTAAAAATGAGCTGTTACTTGATTCAGAGACTACAGTATTAAAAAATAATAATTGCTGTCCAGCTAATAAGTTACACATAATAAGTACTTGGCTTATTTTAAATAACATATTGCTACTTTTATAATAGTGATATTAGCATTTATTGCCAAATTATTACATTATACCAATTGAAAAATAATTATTTGCTATGCGTTTTTTAATCCTTGTAACCTATAGTTAGAATTAGTAATTTCATAGTTTTATAAGATGACTTGAAGAGAACAATGCTTATGCTGTGGTGTAGTAGAAAATGTGACAAGATTTATCATTGCCTTAAGTATTTTCAGAGTGGAAACCAAACTACTTTTTAAAAAAAAAGCTTATGAGCTATGATTGCTTAGGAATTGTGTAAGTTGTATTACTCTAAAGTTGCTCAGTGTCTAAAATTAGAAACAGTTGACTTTGTTAGGCTTTTCTACAATACTATAAAAAGTCCTTTTTTTCCTCTTTCTGCTATTCAGATATGTATAGTTAATTTCATTTATACAAAAAGGCTGAGTTGAATAAAGTTAGAAAATCACTTTATTTTAATCACTGGTTTTTACCAGTATTTTGTTAACCTAGAACATTTGGCTTAGAATCAAGCAAAGTGTGGAAGGGAGAGAAAGGTGTTATTGTTTTCTTCCTTCCCTCTATTATTGTTTGTATTTTTTACTATTATAGGCATCTTTGATCTTGGAAGATCAGTCTGTTTTTTTAATAGTAAACTTCAGTTTAAAAATTTCCCTATCTTGGTGTGCATATATAGGGATGTTTGTTTTTGGTTCATTAGTTTAAAATACTAATAAATCCTATGATTTTCTACATTCAAAAGGAAAAATGAAGTTTCATACATAGTTCACTACTTTTGAAACATGAAATAATATAGCCAGTATACTATACTAGGAAACATAACAGTGGTACAGAAACTCATGGACTGTTTCATTTTGAGCCTGTAATTTTGGTTTTTTGTTAAAGGCTATTCCAGTTGTCATACAAATATATCTGTAGTTTGTGACTTAGAAACAATACACTTTCTATATTTTTTTTAAAAAGCAGATACCTGTATCAGTTACATTTTTAAGTTATACACTGTTTTAAGGCTATGTATTTATTCTTTAAAAAATATGACTTACATGAATATCTTCTGATGGACATATTATTGACAAAATATACACATATTATTTTAACAAACTGCCATGCAACAAATACATTAATTAATGAAGAAATTGAATATATATGACCTAATCTAATTGACATTCACATTTGAAAATTTACAACATAACCAATACTTAAAATGTTTTTTCTTATATTTGGCAGTAATTTCATTTTTTACAATTTAAATTTAAAACTTTCCTGAATATAGATTTGGTGAATCTTACAATTTTCTTTAGTCTGTAACAACCTGAGGAACTAAACATTTCTCTCGTATTTCACTGTCTTCATAGGAAATTTTTTTGCTTCTTTTTGGATCTATCCAAGAGTTGTGTATTACAGCATTATTAGGCATGGGGTCAGCTTCCACTATGGAAACAACTCGTTTTTTCATTTTACTTTTCAAAACTTTTTGAAATTTTTGTCTAGTGAATGCATATAACAGAGGGTGAAATATAGTTGTTCCATAAGCCATGACTAGAAAACACAATCTTAATTTTACTAAAAGGTCACTTGGGCCTAAACATAAAATGGTGGTATTGAGAACAGAAATAGGTGTCCAACAGAGAAGAAATGTGGAAATAATCAATAAAGACATTCTGAAGACTCTTTTCTGCCTCTCTCGTCGTTCTCGGTGTCGTTTGACTGCTCGCCGGAGGGCAATTATTACAGACACTGAAGTTCTCACCCCGAAGACTACATTTCTCCCACCACTGCTTTGTGACATGTCTGTAGTCTCATGTGTTGTTAGAGAAATTGTCTTTTTCTTTCTTGCTTTCTTCTTCTGCCCTGTTGAAAATCTCGTGCCTATTCGAATATTAAGAGCCTGAAGTATCTTGGTGTATGTGATCAGCATTACTATAACTGTGAAGAAGAATATTGGGATCTGTACTAGAAGGTGATAATACATTCCCAGTTCAGTGTAGTATTCATTTGTACTGACACACAAAAGTGTCTTGTTTTCCCATGTATTTCCACTTCGAAGACTGAAAAAATTTACCTCAATAAAGGGAATCAGGAATGAGAAAAAAGAAAAAATCCAAATGGATATCATTAACATCACAGCTCTGCCCATTGTCAGAATTCGGTTTGCAGGTTTTACAGAGATGTCGTATCTGTCCAGAGTGATAGCAAAGACGTTGATTGCTGTTGAGACGCTTGCAAAAGAAACACAAGCCTCATGGAAACAGCAGATGAGAGCAGTGTTGCTCTCCAGTGAAAGCAGAAGGATAACTATAGTTAGAGGAATACATCCCACACAAATTATTACATCGAGTACATGAAGATTCATTGTAATAATGTTACTGACAGAGTTGATTAAGTTGGATTTCATGCAGTAAAGTACCAATACGGTGAGGTTGCTGCCAAGTCCCAACACAATTTCTAACATAAGAAATCCAGTGAGAGACACTTGAAAGCTTAATGGATATGAGAGTGGTTGGTACATATTGGTGTTGATGTCATCAATGTCATCTCTCACTGTAATGTTCGATTCAGACTGCATGTTGATTTCCAGAATGGGAGAAAAGCACATTCTTTTGGAGCAGTTGATTTTTTTCCCTAGAAAGTGAAATAGAATAAACTATTTGATATTTGGCAATTTAAATGATGTAGAAACATGTATTCTTTGTAAACAGAAATAGGTTTGTTGTATACTTTAAGTTCTTAAACTACTAGTGGAAAATGTAGAATTAAGAAATGGCAATGCTACAGTGATTCAATGTGAAAGGAAATTGTGTTCTCCTTTTGAAATTATATGGGAATTGTTCCCCTATAGTACAAAATCAGTTAACACATTAAAAGGGTTTCCATCATTTGGAAATAATTGGGATTTATTTTTGACAGAGAATATATTTTTCTGCAGTAAATCTACCCAGGATGCAAGAGTAATTTTAGTCTGTTTTAAAATTTCGTTTAAAAATGTTGTGAGTAGATAGAAATAAATGCTGTTTTAATATGGTTCAGCATGATTAGTGTAGGTGTAATCCTGTAAGATTTCAAATGACTAGAATAGGTATTATTAAAAGGATAAATAGTTAAGAGTACTAGTTTGTTTCAAGCTATGGTATCCATGTTGATGGACTCAATCAGAAATTAACAGCACTAGGAGATGTTTGGAATTATTTCTCACAGAAAAAGAAAATGATAAATATTTTGTATGTTATGATGAATATACTCACTGAATTTTTACAATGGATAACTTACGAAAATGGGAAGAAGAGATAGTATTCTAAATGAGAACCCCACAAAGCTTGGTAAAAAATCACTAATCACTCCTGTGAATGATTTATTTTGTGACCACATCCTCTTGTATCTTGTGGAAGTAGAAAATTGAAATCTAATACATATTAAGAGATAGCTATTTCTGAAATGGTTTAAAAGAATTTATCCATTGATTTTATTTGTTTAAACAGAGTTCTTAAAGTGAAAAAATGAAATTCTAATGAAAAACAGTAAAGCCATTTTTAAGGAAGCTTTTGAAATTACACATTATCTGTGAAACATTTTGTATACATCCCCCAGTGTATAATTTGGAAGAAAAGAAGAAGAAGAAGAAGAAAAAAAACCTCTGTAGCTAATACAAGTAAATCTATAATATATAGGAGTTTAGACTAATTTTAAAAATAATGCCTGATTTTCTGGGCTGAGATGTCTGTAAGCAGTATATTCCGGTTTAAATATAAAATCATACAATCAGCTATATTTCACATTTCAAGTACAGCTTTTTGACTGCAAAGTTACATATTTAAACAAATTATAAAAGCTAATGATTTTCAAAATTCATGTTAACCTTTAATGTGATGTTACCTTTGAGAAGTTCTAGAAATGTAATTTTATTTATGCATCTTACTTTTGGGATACTATTTCAGAAACAGAAATGCTAACATTGTTAATTGTTTTCAACTTGATATAAGTATTATTAGAGCCATATTTATTCAGGTAATACAGAGATCTTAGCTAATATTGACATCTTATAAAAATGGAGAATTTTAAGTGTGCCAGATTTTCTGAACTGTCAGATTAAACACCAGGTATTTGGTATATCAGTTAGCTAGAGCAGAAATGTCAAGTTAGACAACAATTAAGAAAAAATGCATTGCTTTTGTTTTGTAATTATTAAAACAGTGTGGTGGGGTGCATGCATATTCTGACCTACCTGGTTGCTGTTGCCTTATGGGCCTTTTGGCTCACTATAGCAGTTTTTCACAAATTGATACATGATGTCATTGACAGGTTTTGACATGAATTTTTACCTGACAGCAGTGAAGTGGCTTTGTTTTATTTCGTGTCTTGTAGGAATTCTTTGATTTTCTCTCCAGCACTTCAACTGCATGAATTACAAGATTTAGTTGGCTGATGGATATCTAAAGAACAGTACAGAATATTTGTGTTTGTTTTGCTTAAAAAGTCACAAACAAGAGAAACTTCCCCAAATGATAGGAGTTATGTTTCCGTTTGAGGGGTTTATGATAATGTCTTTTTATTTTCCAGAATATGTGAAAACAGAAAAAAAAAACATAAGGTTGTTAACTTCTAAAATGTATTTAGACATCCTTTTGTTACAATTGTAAGTCTGTTTCTACAGCAGCCCTCATTATTTTGAAGTGATTTCTTGATCACATAATTTGCTTTGTATTATAAATCCAGTCCATGTTCTTTTGATAAAAACCATCTGCTATTTAATTTGGTTGGTTTTCATTAGAAGAGGATACATATTTTGTCAGAAAGCTCAAATGGAAAAATCCATTAGTCATATCAATTGATTGGAATATCTGAATATTTAGTGCAGAAAACACTTGGGAAAACTTTATTTTGCTTGCTGGTTAGGTATGTTATTCTCCTTTTTGAAATTCATGTTTGTTTCTTCCATACTCAGTAGCTTCCACAATTCTGCTATGTTAAAATATAAACTCCCCCTTTAAAAATGCTCACCATTTTGTTTTCAAGCTTTTACAGTCATACTGTTTCTTTTTGTAGTTACTTTGTGTAGCATCTTCTTAAAATACTGTTCATTTGTTATATTCCAGCTGTAGTGTAGACTTAACTCTTTAGTTTCTTAAAATCATGTGTTACAAGGATATCTTGCAGTTCGTGGATCAGAGACCCAGGGAGATTCTCAGTTGCATTCTTCATATTGTCAGTTGTAAATAGTGAATTAGGTGCTATGGGCCTTTGTCAAAAAGAAAAAAAATGATTAAGAAATAAGGTTCATAATGATTTCTAATTAATTGAAAATTTCTTAGTTTTTTTCTGAATTTAAACTCTATAGTAATCATTCTCAAAATAAGCAACTATATTGCTAGAACCATGGTTATATACATAAATGAACTTTTTTGAAGTAAATACTCCTTTTTCTGAACATAGATTGTGTATATTGCCTTATTTACAGTAGTTGCCATTGCAAGTGTAACCATGACAGGCTGTATTTTTAAGTTAATCTCTGCTCTCTTTACAGAAGCTAACATGCATCTTCAGAGATTATGAAGTTAATATACACTAGACATACTATCATTTCCTCTTTGTGATAAATTTAACAACATTTCATGCTGCAAAAATATTGTAGAGCTTGCTTAATTGTTAGCACATGGTTTGAATTTTAACTCATTAAAATAGATTATGTGCTACTATAAATTTCCATCGATGAATGCTCATGTGGTTGAAATGTAAAAGGTAGTTTAAAAATATAACTGCAAATTAATTTTCAAGGTACACGACTAATAAAACTTAGCACTGAATTGAATAGTAACTAAATATTAAACCTGGTTCATAGAAGAAATATAAACATTTTTGGACACCAGAGAAAAACTATACTGATGGCATTAAGAATATTTAGTAGTCCAAGGTGTCTTAAAAGCTAATGTATTTGTAGTAATCTAGCAGAGAGTATTCTTCGGTTTAACAATTCATTCTAAAAATTTACATTTAAAATATATCATGTTCTAAAAGAAATAGATCTAAAATTTACATATGTACAATAAGTAGCAACAAACAAACTCTTAAAATTTAGGCTGAAAAATTTCAAAGTAATTTTACCCCACCATGCTGGTTCAAAGCAGCTGTATACTATAATAAGGAACATATCTTACCTCTGTTACAGATTTGATAAATTCTTGTAGTTGAAGCATTTTCCGTTTGATTGATTCATTTTGTTCACTTGTTAGTAGAGGATGGGGGAAGAGGGTCGTAAACAGCTCTTCAAAAATGACCTTAATGAAAATATGTGTCTGAACTGTGCCATTGTTTCAGCAGGACTGCTAATGTATGGAACGTGTAGTGCTGTTAGAGGCTGCTGCAGTCTCTCACTCTTCCCACTGTGCAATCAATAAGCCTCTGAAAATACATAATGAAAGTAATTTAACATACTGAAGGCTTCGTGTCTCCAGAGACAACATTTAGATTCAGTCTTTCTAAAAAGGAACGGCACTGCTTTTCCGAGGAAAGCCTGTTCTGAGCAGCTTTTGCAGAATGACAGCCTACCTTGTCGCTTCTCTCCACTGCAGAGAGATGCAGTGCATTCACTAATTTTGATTGGTCAGTTGTATTGGGCTTAAACTGTGCTTCATATGTATAGCAGGAATTCCTCCCCCCTACTGTTTTATATAAGGGTGCTTTTTAAAAACACTAAATTTATAAGTGATTGTATATTGTTCTTAAATAAATATGAGTAGATTAGTCTTTTTAAAATGCTTATTGTAGTTTGTTGGTCACTTATTCTAAACATTAAAAACACAGGGAGGTGGGGGATAGGGAAAATTTGCATGATAACATAATATATTCAATTTTAAGCCTTGATAGTTGTACTTGAGAATATTTTCATAATTATGTTTTTGGTTGACATTCTTTGTTCTGCAAATGGAAATCCACCCCATCTTTACAGTGAATTTCAATTGTTTATATTCAAGTTATCTCTTTCCCAAGGTGTGAACATCTCGAAGTGTTAAACATTGTCATAACTTCAGTGTTCATTCATTCATTCAATCAGCCATTTCATTTCATTCTTCATTCAAAATACTAATTAAATTGAGCTAAAGCGATTATATTCTATATAGTGTATGAACATTGCATTGCTAATACCATAGTGGAAGTATATAAAACTTTAATCTTTTCCTTTACTTTTGGAGATTACTACTCTTTACCTTTGGTAATCCTGTTATTTGGTTGATGTACACTGATCATTTGCCATTAATGTTTGATTTCACTTGGCTTTTTCTGATTCTGACACTTAATGGATTGTTGTATCTTAAGTATTGTAGGTAGCTGTATGCTAATGTTTTTGAAAATATATGTAGTTAATTATAAAGATAGTTATTTAAGATATGTCACAATAATAAAATATTGGTACAAAAATAAACCAAAATAGTAATGTAAACTTAAATTTATATTAATTTTGGTTACCTATAAATATATTCCTGTTCTCAGTAGTGATGACAAATTATTTTAGACCTAGTATGTATAGACTGGATTTGATAAGTATTGGCACATAAGATGCCTTTGGTGATATCTGAGTTATTAGAGTATTAATTATCACTTGTTTCTGCTATTTTAGGAATATTAATGAGTTTCAACTTCAAAATGTTGTATCCTGTTTATTTGTAATTAGAATTGTTCTAATTTTGAAAAGCATAACCTTTCTTTGGTATTAGGTAATTATTTAATATTTGTAGGGAATAACTGATGAGTACAGGTTTCAAACTGCATTTTTATGGAAGAATAGTTGAGAATAATGTGAAAAATTTTGTTGTAGATTTTTAAAATTTTCTGCCCAGCTTTTGGTGGTAGGGCTTTGGTAATGCTAAAAATGAACATGTATTATTATGCGTTTTGAAAGTTGAGGATAAAGATCTTATTAGAATGTCAGCCTCACTAATACATGTTAAATGTTATTTTAAACTTAAAACTGAAATCAGAGAAAATGTTGAAGCTTCTCATAGGGATAAGGATCAGTTGAAGCTTCTCATAGGGATAAGGAAATTATGTATATCATACTTTTCTGCGTAAGAATTCCAGTGTTTGGTTAGGTTTCTTGTCAAATATTCCCATAGAATACAGGAAACCAAGGCACAGAGAAATCTATTTACTTAAAAGAATCCAAAAGTGTTATCAACAGAGGCAGGACGACAACTGTACAAACCTTACCTTATTAAGGTAAGTTACCTCTCTCTTTAGAAGAGTATCAAAGTACTTGAATTGGATGATCTAGGTTAATCATTAATAATTACATTATAGTTTTTATTTTTGTTGAGTTATATTTCGATGCTTTGTTTCTTCATAAGAAAGTTTTGAAGTTAAATTCAGATTATTCTGGAAAAAAAAACAAAATTTGAAGTTTCAGTAAGCAGTACTAGCAGCAGAAAAGCTCATTTCTGGACATTGCTTTATGTTCCTTATACAGTGACATGTAGCTAAAGATATGTATCACAAACAGTGTTTAGTTTTTAATCAAGTAAATGCTTATTTGAATTTTTTTTTTAAAGAACACATTTATTTGGTGCTTATGTGTTACTCAGATATTTACAGGTTATCTTATTTTAGCAGATAGGCTAATATCTCAACCACTGGATTAAGAATCAGATTGTATTGTTTTTATACAAAAGTCATAAAAACATGCCAAAATTTACAGATTCTTGTTTCCATAGTAACAGATTTTCACACTTGTGCATGTAATATATTTTGTATTCATATAGGATATTGATTTTGAAATATGCTGCAGTTGGCGATTTAAACCAGGTTTTATGTTATAATTTTGTAGGTTAATGTTTTTACTTAATTAGTAACCTAGGAAGGCAGTTTGGCTTCACATTGATGACAAAACAACATAGGTGAATGTAGTCCTAAAATATAGCTCAATTAAAAGGCTTTTTCATGTAACGTTTTTCTTTTTAGTTATAAATATTATGATTGAATATTTCTTTTGATTTCTAAAAGTCCTGATATGAGGTCTCTAATTTTTAATTTTATACATTTGTCTTCTTAAATTTAGACAACTGAAAGTATAATTGATTGTTATATTTATACTATACTATACATATCAAATTATTATTATCCAGTTTGCAGCTACTTATGTTGCTACATTTTTGATGATTCTCTGAGTTTGTAAGTTAAAGAAAAAATGAATTTTGTGAGATAGTGGAACTAACTGTAATTCAAAGTGCTTTAGAACTATTTGTAAACTATATTTGCAAAAGCAGTTTTTAATTGCAGGAAATTACTTTTAAAACTGTTTAGCTCCAGAAGATGTACTGTCAGTGAATAGTTAACATGTTAGCTCTGAACTCTCTCTGATATTGGAGTCCAGGGAAGAAAGGATTTTTTCAGTTGAAAGCCAATTCAAAAATCTGATTTGGTTTCTTGACTTTACATTTCTTTCACAGCAAATGTTTTATCAAAAAAATAGAAATGGACCATCTGCTGAAACCTCCACCAAGTGAGGAGTAGCCAAGGTAGTGGAGAATCAACAACGCTGATGACTCATTATCTATAGAGAATAATTAAAAGCTAATTATGTTGGATAAAGTACATGCATGAGAATTGTAACAGAAAATTCCACAAACCCCATTCTTTCCCATCCTTCCCTACTTCACTTGAGTTAAGCACAAAAATTTATTTATTTATTTATTTAAAAAAAATTTTTTTTTTTGGCCTTTTCCTTTTTATCAGTACCTGGGATCGAACTCACGACTGCCTGCTTGCAAGGCAGGCACTTATGCCGCTGAGTCCCCTAAAAATTTATTTATTTTATTATTACTTGTCAGCATACAAGTATGTATGTCAGCATACATTACACAAATAAATACATGGACTTTTTCCATTTTTTTCTTCTCAAACCAAGACTTTGGTCATGGTTTAATCTCCCTCTTTTACACTACCAGTGGCATGTCTGTTTAGGGGCTTTGTCCGAATTATTTCGCAGCTCAATTTTTCTGGCTTACCATTTTGACTGTCTTATATTCTTCTTTGCACCTTTCAATGATTATGGATGTTGTTGATGTTTTTCTTATTATATTTATTTGTCTCATACTGGGACTGAAACTCAGGGGTGTGCTACCACTGAGCTATATCCCTATCCTTTTGTCCCCTCTCTCCCTTTTTTTTCTTTTGGTGGGGGACATGTCTCTGTAGCCCAGGCTGGCCTTGAACTCGTGATCCTCCTGTCTCAGCTGCCTGCCTGAATGCTGGGATTTTGTTTTATTTATTTTTTAAATTTTGAGACCGGTCTTGCTAAAAGTACTTAGGCTAGTTTCAAACTTGTGGTCTTCCAACCTCAGCCTTCTGAGCAGCTGGGATTATAAGTGTGCTCCACTGTACCCAACATTCTTTTTATAGTTTAATGAAAGATTTGCATAAACAGACATTTCTTGTGCTCCCCACCCCTCTTATTGGTTTCTTTTTCTTGTTGCTGCCTCTTCTCTGTATAATTTTCCCACTCTCAGTTGTTGTGCAGAATCAAATTCATTTGAGGCCAAATCAGTTGCCCAGCTGGGTTATATGTTTAACAAAGCTGTGTCAAGTCACTTGTGCTATTATGAGTCCTGAACTCTGGTGGGAGACATAGTTGAATGACTCCCTACCAGAATCTAATGTTCTATTCTTAAAACTACATACATAGTGCTTATAAAAAAGGGCTGCCATTTTTTTATACAGAACCAGAAAATGGCAGAATTCTTTTATAGACAATAGCTCTTTTATAGACTAATACCCACTTTACCACTTGGATCAAATCAATCATTTGGAAAAATGGACGGATTTTAAGAGTTTTCTAATCTTAAAGACTGTACTCACTGATAATTTTCTGCTGATTATAGTCACTGTTATATATTCAAGTCTTCTGCTCTTCATTTTCAGTTTATAACGTCTAGGAAAAGTTCAGTCATTATTTAGTATTGTAGAGAATTTACACATTAATTTGGGGAAAATAGACAATATTGAGTCTTCCAGCTTGTGGAAGGTATGTATTATTTTGGGGATTAAACCCAGGACCTTTGTGCTGAGCTTTATCTCCAGCCCTTTTTATTATTTACTTTTCAATTTCCTTTATTTTGAGACAGAGCCTCACTAAGTTGTTCAGCCTGGGCTCAAAACTGTGATCCTTCTGCCCAGCTTCCCAGTGTGCTGTAATAATAGGCTTATACCCCCAAGCTCAGTTTATCTTTATTTTATCAGTGTTTTGTAGATTGTTGTCCATATAATTGCACATATTTTGTTAGATTTTTACCTATTTATTTAATGCTATGGAAGTGACATGCAATTTTAAAAAATCTCAATTGCTTATTTTTGTATTTATTTTATTATTTTTTGTATACTGACTATTTTGCAGTTTTACTAAATTCATCTATTAATTTTTAGAAGGTTTTAAAATGAATTCCACAATCTTTGCTAACAGACAATTTATGTCTGCCAATAGAGGTAGTTACTGAAATGTGTGTAAGGTATTGTTACCTCATTGTACTACCCAGCACCTCTGAGATTTAAATTGGGTGTTTTGGGTGAAGCAGTCCACCCTGAGCCTTGA